TCCCTGGTCACGAGCGGTATGCTGTCTGTACCGAGGCCGCCACTGGTGCCCCCCTTACCACTTTCCCCCGGGACCCGGTGTCCGGCCTGTTCACACTTGACACCGCGACGTCCCCGGCTGGGCCTTCCCCCCAGGTAGCTGCGTCCACCCAGGTTGCTGCTGCGTGCTCCTGTCGGTCCCTCACTCACCCGACTCTCCTTTGGCACCACCGCCTTGGTCACCCTGCACTCCCGCGTCTGCGCCACATGTCCCAGCACGGTCTTGTCCTTGGTCTCCAAGGTTCGTTCCCCGAGTTTCCCTCCTCTCCCGCCCCCCCGTGCACGCCCTGTGTCGAGGGCAGGCTCCGCCGTGCCCCTCACTCCTCCTCGTTTCCCCCTACCACCGCACCACTGCAGACTCTGCACATGGACGTCTGGGGCCCAGCCCCGGTCCATGGGCCGCGTCGCGAGCGCTTCTTTCTAGTGCTTGTCGACGACTTCACGCGCTACACCACCGTCTTTCCCCTGGAGCGCAAGGCCGACGTGCCTGACGCTCTTATCCCCTGGCTTGTCTCTGCTCGTGTTCACCGCGGTCTCCCTGCCTTGCGCCTCCACTCCGACCGGGGTGGCGAGTTTGCCTCAGGTGTCCTTGGTCGCTTCTGTCGTGCGGAGGGCATCACCCAGACGTTCACCCTGCCGGACTCCCCGCAGCAGAATGGGGTCGCTGAGCGACGCATCGGTTTGGTCATGGAGGTGGCCCGCACCTCCATGATCCACGCCGGTGCCCCCCATTTTCTGTGGCCGTTCGCCGTGCGCTACGCCGCTCACCAGCTTAACCTGTGGCCGCACCCCCAGCGGTCGCAGGTTTCGCCGACCCTCCTGTGGACCGGGTCCCCTGGTGACGCGTCTGCGTTCCACGTCTGGGGCTGCCTTGCTCACGTTCGTGCCTCTGGCACGGACAAGCTCACTGCCCGCACCCTCCCCTGCGTCTTCCTCGGTTTCCCCCTTGACGCGTCTGACTGGCACTTCTACCACCCGCCGTCTCACCGCTTCTTTCACTCTCGCGACGTCACCTTTGACGAGTCCGTCTCCTTCTACCGCCGCTTCCCCCACCGTGGTCCCCCGGTCACTCCCCCCCTGTTCCTGGTCCCTCCTTCCCGGTGGTCCCTCCCCCCCCCCCCCCCCCCCCGCCCCCCCGTCCGGCCCCCTCTGGTGTGTCTCACGTCACCCCCCTCCCGTCGGTCGTCCCGGTAGACGAGTCTTCTGACTCTGGTAGTCCCCCGGCGCGGTCCTCGCCGTCTGTCCCTCCCCCGGTGTTTCCTCCCCCACCGCCTCCGCAGCTGCCGCCGCCGCGGCTGCCGCAGCCGTCGTCTCCGCCGCCACCGCCGCCGCGGCCGTCGCTGCAGCCGCCGCCGCCGCCGCCGCCGCCGCAGTCGTCGCTGCCGCTGTTTGTGGACTCTGGGGGTGCTGGCGGGGTTTCGTCCTCTGGGGGTGTCCCTTCTGGGGGTGCCGGTGTGGAGGGTTCGGGAGGTGGTAGCCGCGCAGCTTGTGGCCCTGGCGTTGGTGTTGTGTCGCCGCAGCAGCAGTCCCCGCCGGTGTCCGCCCTTCGCCTGCTCGGCCTTCCGTCCCCTGACCCTGCGCCTGTTCCTCGCCTCCCGTCTCCTCCTCTTCCCGTCTCCGGCCCCGTGTTCCCTCCGCCGGACTCGTCCCCGGCTCGTTTTCCCCCTCGTTCCCCACCAGTGTCCCCTCCTCTGTCTCCTGACCCGACGCCTCCCTCTCATGTCTGGGCTCGCCGCCCCTCCCGTGCTCGTCCTGTCTCCCCCGTCCCGCGCTCTCACCCTATGTTGCTCCGGTCTCACGTGTCTTCTCCTCCCCTCCTCCCGTCTCCTCCTCCGTCCTCTCTTGTCGTTGCGTCTCCTCCTCTGTCTGACTACTTTCGTGCCGCTCGTCCTCTTGTTCCTCGGGTCCTTGCCTCTCTGGTTACCGACCCGTCTGTTCCCCTGTCGCGTCTTGACGCCCTTGTCGCTGCGGTCGCTGACTTCGCCTCTACCCGCCGCCTTGACTACGCTACTGCTCTGGTCTCCGACCCTGCCTGTCCTCCGTCTGTCGGGGGTGCTCCTGCCCTTGGCAGTGACGTCCTGGAGGACCGCCAGTTTGAGCTTGCTTTCCTGTCCGAGGCTGCTCCCCATCTCTGTTCCATGCTGCTAGTCCCTGAGGGTGACCCAGACGCTTTCGACATCCCGACCCCTCGTACTTACGCTGAGGCGGTTTCGGGACCCTGGGCCTCTCAGTGGATAGCTGCCATAGAACAGGAGATGGCATCTTGGAGATCCACCGGCACCTTCGTCGACGCAGTTCCCCCACCTGGGGTGAACGTTGTCGATGGCCGTTGGCTCTTCAATGTGAAGCGCCCTCCTGGAGAGCCGCCTGTGTTCAAGGCGCGCTACGTGGCTAGAGGCTTCAGTCAGCGCGAGGGGGTGGACTTCTTTCAGACTTTCGCTCCTACGCTGAAGATGACTACTCTTCGGGTTCTGTTACACGTAGCAGTTCAGCGTGACTACGAGCTTCACTCCCTCGACTTCTCCACTGCCTTCCTTCAGGGCAGCCTTCACGAGCAGGTCTACCTGCGTCGTCCTCAGGGCTTTACTGGCACTTTCCCCCCTGGGACCCAGTGGCTTCTGCGCCGTCCAGTCTACGGCCTGCGCCAGGCGCCTCGTGAGTGGCACGACACGCTGCGTACTACCCTTGCTGACCTGCAGTTCTTTCCGTCCTCTGCAGACCCCTCGCTCTTCGTTCGTGCTGGCACGACTCCGTTCTTCATCCTGGTCTACGTAGACGACCTGGTCTTTGCCACAGCTGACAGGGACGCACTGGCCTCCGTGAAGGCAGAGCTGCTGAAGAGACACACCTGCACTGACCTTGGAGAGCTGCGCCGTTACCTTGGCTTGCAGATCTCCAGGGACAGAGCCGCGCGCACCATCACCCTGACTCAGTCACACTTGGTGCGCCAGGTCCTTCAGAGGTTCGGCCTTCAGTTCTCCTCCGCACAGCCCACCCCTCTTCCCCTGGACCACAGACTCTCCGCTCCAGTTCCTGAGGAGTCGGTAGATCCCAGTGGTCCTTACGCTGAGCTAGTGGGTTGCCTCATGTATCTGATGACTTGCACTCGCCCAGATCTCGCATACCCTCTCAGCATCCTGGCTCGTTTCGTGGCCACAGGCAGACACCGACCTCAGCACTGGTCTGCCGCTAAGAGGGTTTTGCGTTATCTTGCAAGTACATCGGGCATGGGGTTAGTGCTAGGCGGTCGCAGGCCAGTGGTCCTTACTGGACACACAGACGCTTCTTGGGCAGACGACGCCGAGACGCTCAGGTCTTCCCAGGGCTACTGCTTTAGCCTTGGCTCAGGTGCTGTCTCGTGGAGAGCTACCCGCTCCTCGTCTGTTGCCCAGTCCAGCTGTGAGGCTGAGATCTACGCCGGTGCCATGGCGGCACAGGAGCTCCGCTGGCTGACCTTCTTGCTCACTGACTTGGGTGAGCGGCCTAGCTCTGCCCCGGTCCTGTACGCTGACAACAGGGCCATGATCCTCCTGTGTCAGGAGCCTGGACTCGAGGGCAGAGCGAAGCACATTCAGCTGCGGTACTTCCTCCTGCGCGAGCTCCAGCAGCGTCGCCAGGCTCGCGTAGTACACTTGGCCTCCGGTGCCAACACAGCTGATATCTTTACGAAGGCGCTTGCGCCTAAAGATCATCAGCGGCACTGCGTACAGCTTGGTCTAGTTCCTGTAGCCTCTCACTTGCTAGGGCCTTGACTTTGTACTGTCCTTTATATGCATACTCAGACTGGACTTGTGTCCTCTCCCAGTGGCTGGACTAGTAGTGCCGCCCTGGTCTTGTTCTTGCTTTGTCTCAACTCCATCTAACTGGTCTTTTAGACCCCTGTCTCAGAGGTTGGACTAGTAGTGCCGCCCTGAGCTGCTTGTTCAGGTCATTCCCCTCTGCAGTCTAGGGGGTGTGTCAAACATAAGTATAACTCTTGTTTGTATAGACTGTATAGGGTCATCTCTTAGAGGGTACAACACTCTTAGGTATATACCCTTGTACTCTCTCTCTATTCAATCATTCATTCAGTTCTAAGAAATAGCGCTCGTCATAGGACAGTCGTTTCAGTCACGCAAACAGTCGCACCTCTTCAATATCGTTTAGAGCGCATAGCGCGATAGTGACGAATAGGTAGATTAGCGAATAGGTATTTTTCCTAGAACTATAAATCCTTGTTAGATCATTTCATTATTAACTTTTGATTATCCACAAGTTCACGTACTCATGTTATTCAACCTTGACCTTTATATTTTACAAGACTTCCGCTGTCTTACTAGTCTACCATTCCAGCAAAGATCCTGGACCAACACTTGAAGATTTGCCAAGTGTTCGTGTTTATAGTTTTATACTTAGTCTACTACAACATCAAACGTTTTATTTCAATCCGTAGATGGGCCTGTTCAGCAGGCATGTCGACGTAACTAGGTTCGGAAAAGTTGTGCCAGGTTTGGGCGAAAATTTGCGGGCTGACCCTCGATCCGAAGCAAAATATCTCGCTTTCGGAAGGTGCTCTGATGTAATTTGTACTTTCCTTTTTTGCCTGCAGAACGTTGCCTTTGTTGCATACAAACCTTCCGTTTTGTTGGCAAATTCATGTCATGTACCATTTCGCTATTGGAGACGCCAGCGTCGCCATGGCCACAAACCGCGGAACGAGCCAGCTTTTCGCACCCCGTGTCGTGTACCCGACGCCTCTTCCAACCAGCGAAATGAATCCCTTTGCCGAGTTGGAGTCCGAGACTCCCAAGGGACAGAGGTTTCGTGTTGTCGCAGCACCAAATTGAATAGCTCTAAATCGCTTCAAAACAAATGAAACCGTACAGCACCTCTTTGTAATGTTCGGAGTCCATGACATCCCACGCACTGTCACTGACAAATCCAATAATTGTTTTGTTTAGTTTGGATGGTGAATGAATGGCAGGAGAGATGC